TTTTCTGTGTTAAACTGGTATCCACTGTCATGTAATTTGATTATTGTTGTGAAGGATAATTTTATATATATATATATATATATATAGAGAGAGAGAGAGAGAGAGAGAGAGAGAGAGAGAGAGCAAGAGAAAGAGAAATATTCAATCCTTGGTCTACATCCATCCTTCTCTCTCTCTCTCTAACATATATATATATATATATATATATATATATATATATATATATATATAAGACATCATCACAACTATAACTTAAATTATATGTGGGTGTTCTAAGAACAACTATATATATATATATATATATATATATATATATATATTATATTTATATATATTTAATATATTTTTTTTCGCTACCCAGTTCTAACCATGTTCAAAAAAAAATGGAAGCTAAAAAGACATTAGTTCCATTTCATCCTCAAGCGAATTTTTTCGCATACTATGAATGAAGGAAATGGGTTTAAATATTAATTGTTCACTCGTATTTTTTTTTCATCTTATTTCTGTCTTTTCATTACAGTATTCAGATTAGACACATTCAAAATCCCAGAACCAAAACTAAAGAACATTTTGTAATATTACTTGAAATTTTTAGACGAAGCATACTCAATTATTGTTAATGTTCGTTTTATATTTGTTTCATCTTATTTTGTTATTTTAACGCTTATTTAACGACAGTACAATAACTGAGACTAACGGTATAAAACAGAAGAAAGAAAAACAAAGAAATACTCGTTAGAAATAAATAATAAAGACAATATTCCATCTAAAGAATTCCCTATTACTTTCAATACTATTTGTAATTCGTGGAGTTACTCCACTTACTTTCCTAAAGAAAACGCCGATAGGGGACGCCCCATAAGCCTATGAATAGGCAGTAACATTTTCGGTCATCCTCCGTTTCCTGTTCCCCCCAACAGCTACTCCACTTACTTTCATAAAAAAAAAAACATCGATAGGGGAGCCTATGAATAGGGAGTGACATTCTCTGTCATTCTCTTTTTCCTATTTCACTAACAGACGGTAAGTTCTAGGTCGAACAAGGAAAACGTTTTCGCCACGGGGGAACGCACACGCGCGCACACACACACACGTACTCACGTAAGCACCTTTCATCTTTTCTAGGACTTTCTCCTACACCAAACTACACACACAAAAACACATTACTTAGTTTTTAAATGTTTTCATTCACACACACACACACACACACACACACACACACACACACACACACACACACACATATATATATATGTGTGTGTGTGTGTGTGTAAGTACAGAAAAGATGATATTAGAAACATTTTAGAGGACCATGAAGACATATGGGTTTGCGCCTCAAAACACTCAATTCAGACTGGCTTAATCACAAATTTAGCAACATAGAATTAATAAAAATCAAGCCCTAGCCTTAAATCAAACCCTATCCAAATTTCACACCCACACAAGACAGACATGCTTGCAGAAGTGTTGAAGTTTCACACTTATACATACACCCATACTAATATATACACTTACACACATCATACACACTCCCAAAGAACTAAATGATAACATACACTTAACACAGACACATCCCCTTCCCAAGAATCAATAAAACTGTCAAAGTGACCAAAGGAATTCAGAGTAGCCCGAATCTATCCAGCCGCTATCTTAGAAAACAACTTAAAGGAGCCAGTTTGACCAACATAAGTACTGAGCAAATTTAATGATAAATAAACAAATGAAAACTACAGATAAAGTTCATTTTCTTCATCAAGTCATTCATTCCTGTAGCTCACTGATATTAAAAGCAGATTGTTTTCTCCTAATGATAGCCATGTTGGCCGAAACTAGTCAAGGAATCTAATTGAAGTGATAAAACAAAAAATATTAATATACAACCCAGTGTGTCTGAAAATTTTAATTTTTTAATTTCTCAATACTTTTCATTGTTCAAAACATATATATATATAGTGTCGTTGTTACGTTATCATTTTATTACTCGGACTCACATTCTAGTCCGTAATTATTTTCGTGGGGAATATATACCAGGTGACGCAAACAGCATTCCCGTAACAAATGTATATTGTGGGATTACTACCCCACAGCAGTGAGTTATGGCTGACACGATTTTCAAAAGCCTCAAGCTTTTTTGACGCCGATCACCAGAGTGAGAACATACACTTTAATGCTGACAAAACGTTAAAATTTATTCCTTTCATGTAAGAAATATAAAGTAACAATACATTGCCGATGAGAGGTAAAGAAATACGTTAAGATATGTTAAATTAAAACTAACTGTATTAATAATGTTTACATTGATCAAGGGTAGAATGTCTCTTGTGGGCGAGAGAGGTGAATGAAGAGATTTAATCTCGGAGACGAGGTGAATAAAAAGATTTGATCTCGGAGACGTGTGGTATGATTGTCTACTGACCTCGCGATGGGTCACTGATGATAAAGGGAAGTTGCTGGCTTATCCTTACATCGGATCGGTTGACAGAGAAACCGCTGTGAACTCCCTTGAGGGTCACCGAGCGGGTCCTTTTAAGCAGTCAGGATAGATACATGACCTAAAATTTTTGTCATGTTTTTACTTTAGCGGCAACGTTCGTGATTAGCTCTGGCGTTTAAATGTTAGTTTATTTATTTGGATTTGTTTTGTGAGTTGGATGCGATCAGGTCAGGATCGATTATATTACAGGACCTTATCTGGATTTTGTCATGAATTTCAAGATACATAATGGAAGCACCGAACCATATATGGCAGCAATATTCAATGCACGGACAAATGGTAAAAAAGAATAAAAATGTTGTTCAAAACATGAACATGAAAACAAACCAGTAATAAATACTAACGATGTTTTATTTTCTCACAAATATTGTAATAACTATCTCACATGCTGTCTATTGTGGCATGTGGGGGCTTCCTTACTTTGATCAATTCAGCAGTAGCAGCACCAGAAGTAATCAACAGGGTACAACCAGAAATCCCAAAAGTCATAAAAGCCCTGACAGAGCCCTACCCGTCCTCTTTTCCATTTTCATTTGCCGTAGTCTTCAAGGTCCAACTCAAAGGACTACTTTCAAGCCTTGCTGCAGAAGACAAGACGTCTGTCCTGGCAGCTTGACTTCAGATTTCTCGTTCTTTGGGCGAACAGACAAAGAAATCTTCCTTCCAGAAACCTACCCAAAGGAAAAAAAAAAACTGAACACAACGCTTGCTGCAGAAGACACGTACCAGTCCTCGTTGTTTCGCGGTGAGATTTCTCGTTCCTCCCGTGGGAACAAGAGGAGAAATTTCTCTCTATGAAACACCTACTCGAGGGAAGAATTTTGTTAACGGGGAAACCCAACTCTTTTCCCAGCAAATAACCACAAATAAAAGCAGTTAAACAGTTATTTTGAGCCCTGGGTTTTGTTCATGCCACTCTCACTGCCGAGCACACGCACACAGACATACATACACAGACATACACACATATACACACGCAACCGGGAAAAAATTCCTACAATATTTTATCTATGTCATATATCTATGTCGTTATATTTATAAGAGTAATTTTCCGTTAATTCTCTGACATGGTTCTCGAGATTCACCAATTCAGACTTCCAAAGAATTGAATCACGCTCATTTACCTCGTATTGCAAATGTAAAAGAGAAATTTCCACTCACACAGTGTTTTCTTTTCAAAGAACTGCCATTCTGTGGAGCAGATTCACACGTAATCGCTTCCCTGAATATCACAATTTTAACCTCTTCAAGTTAAAGGTCAATCATTTATCTATCTTCCTTATTCTCATAATCTTCAATACTAACCACCACCTCATTCATATCACTTCTTACCTCATTCATAAACATTTTAACCGTAACCCTCTAATTTGAATGTCTTTCGAGCGTTGTAGTGTATAAACTTTAGTATATATTAAAAAAAACAAGAATATTTCCTCTTTTCGTTTCGTCACTTACAAATTCCTGACGTGAAAAGTGAATACTTGATTCTATTATGTCTGTTGCGCTTGAAGTCAAACCCAAATAAGTCGACGTCTTTTCGTAATTAGACATTTTCATTTTTTTTCTTTTCAAAAGAAGTGAACTAATCCATTCATATTTCAATAATATTTCTGTTCATTCATGATTGTCAGAATATTTCATTTTCAAACACAAAAAAAAACGTTTATAAAATTATATTTATACTGGGTGCGATGGGTAAATTGTCCCCATTTTATATTTTTAATTTCGCACATGCGCGTGGTTTCTTTTTGATTTTATCGACTACACAGTATAGTAGAAAGAGCTGCGTACCGTCTGTGAGAAAAAGAGAATCATGATCCAATTCACTCCGCCAGTAATTTGGAATCGGTATGCTTTACTGCTTGGAATCGGTAGGGTGTACTGCTTGGAAACGGTAGGCTGTACTGCTTGGAATCGGTAGGCTGAATTGCTTGGAATCGGTAGGCTGTACCACTCGGAACCGGTAGGCTGTACTGCTTGGAGTCAGTAAGCTGTGCCACTTGGAATCGGTATGTTGTACTGCTTGGAATCAGTATGCTGTACTGCTTGGGATGGGTAGGCTGTACTGCTAGGAATCGGTAGGCCGTACTGCTTGGAAACACTAGGCTGTACTGCTTGGAATCGGTAGGCTGTACTGCTAGGAATTGGTAGGCTGTACTGCTTGGAATCGGCAGGCCGTACCACTTGGAATCGGTATGCTGTACTGCTTGGAATTGGTAGGCTGTACTGCTTGGAAACACTAGGCTGTACTGCTTGGAATCAGTAGGCTGTACTGCTGAGAATCGGCAGGCTGTACCACTTGGAATCGGTATGCTGTACTGCTTGGAATCGGTATGCTGTACTGCTTGGAATGGGTAGGCTGTGCTGCTAGGAATCGGTAGGCTGTGCCACTTGGAAACGGTATGCTGTACTGCTTGGAATCGGTAGGCTGTACTGCTTGGAATCGGTAGGCTGTACTGCTTGGAATCGGTAGGTTGGACTCCTTGGAATCGGTATGCTGTATTGCTTAGAAACGGTAGGCTGTACGGCTTAGGACGGGTAGGCTGTACTGCTTGGAATCGGTAGGCTGTACTGCTTGGGATGGGTAGGCTGTACTGCTTGGAATCGGTAGGCTGTACTGCTTGAAATCGGTAGGCTGTACTTCTTGGAAACGGTAGGTTGGACTCCTTGGAATCGGTATGCTGTATTGCTTAGAAACGGTAGGCTGTACTGCTTGGGACGGGTAGGCTGTACTGCTAGGAATCGGTATGCTGTACTGCTTGGAATCGGTAGGCTGTACTGCTTGGAATCGGTAGGCCGTACTGCTTGGAATGGGTAGGCTGTACCACTTGGAATGGGTAGGCTGTACTGCTTGGAATGGGTAGGCTGTACTGCTTGGAATCGGTAGGCTGTGCCGCTTGGAATCGGTATGCTGTACTGCTTGGAATCGGTAGGCTGTACTGCTTGGAAACGTTATGTTGGACTCCTTGGAATCGGTATGCTGTATTGCTTGGATACGGTAGGCTGTACCACTCGGAACCGGTAGGCTGTACTGCTTGGAATCGGTAGGCTGTACTGCTTGGAATCGGTAGGCTGTACCACTTGGAATCGGTATGCTCTACTGCTTGGAATCGGTAGGTTGTGCAATCTAGGCCGTTGCTAGAAATCGGCCGTACTGCTTGGAATCGGTAGGCTGTACTGCTGCAATCGGGAATCAGGAATCAGGCCGTACTGCTTGGAAACGGTAGGCTGGAATCTAGGTTGGACTCCTTGGAATCGGTATGTATTGTAGAAACTAGGCTTACGGTTTGGGTAGGTACGCTGTACTGCTTGGAATCGGTAGGCTGTACCACTTGGGAATAGGGTATGAATCGGTAGGCTACTGCTTGGAATCGGTAGACTGTACAACTTGGAACCAGTAGGCTCTAATGCTTGGAATCGGTATGCTGTATTGCTTGGAAACGGTAGGCTGTACCACTCGGAATCGGTCGGCTGTACTGCTTGGAATCGGTAGGCTGGACTGCTTGGAATCGGTAGGTTGTACTGCTTGAGTCGGTAGGCTGTGCCACTTGGAATCGGTATGCTGTACTGCTTGGAATCGGTAGGCTGTACTGCTTGGAATCGGTATGCTGTACTGCTTGGGATGGGTAGGTTGCACTGCTAGTAATCGGTAGGCCGTACTGCTTGGGATGGGTAGGCTGTACTGCTAGTAATCGGTAGGTCGTACTGCTTGGAAACGGTAGGCTGTACCACTTGGAACCGGTAGGCTGTACTACTTGGAATCGGTAGGCCGTACTGCTTGGCAACGGTAGGCTGTGCCACCTGGAATCGATATGCTGTACTGATTGGAATCGGTAGGCTGTACTGCTTGGAATTCTCTAGCATGGATTGTGAGATGAGAAAAAATCTACCCCATGGATTGAATAAAGGGGTCACTAGGAAAAATTAACTGGTATAATATATTCCTTTTTCATGGGTAATTGGATGAGAACCATCTACCCGCCATAAATTGAATAAAGAGATCATTGGGAAGAATTAAGATATTTTATAGTATAAACATTTTGAATGAGAATAATCTAATTCGTGGATTAATAAAGGGTTAGGTTTTGATAATCCTGGAAATGTACCAACTAAGACAAACATCTGAAGATGTAGGAGGCCACAGTACCCGAAACGTTGTAACATCAGCAACCCAAGACGAGGACATTAGTCTGTGTAAGCAGTGTATGTGAGAATGATGTGAACAGATTAGAAAACCTCGCTAATATATTGTTTCGAGTATGCAACGTCCTTTGATAGAATGAAGTAGGTGTAGTGAGCACTTGGGAGGTTAACCACTCTCCCATAACTAACACATAAACAGTAATAACAGCAAATAACTGTTACACCCACTTTCAAATTTGACAAGGACCATCCCAAATGCAGAATATACAAGACCGTCACATAATGTTTATTTTGATACCCAGCACCGTAAAGAGCAATTTTTTGTTGTTAGTCATTAATGATTCTTTGAAATGATATTAACCTTTCGACCATTATGGGTCATGATCCGAAAATGAATAATGCGGTGGTCAGATTACCGATTCGAATGTGAAGTTACGAGTGTTTTGTTCTTAAATATCAGATGAACAGCACTAAATTAAATTCAGATCAAGTCTTTACTGACATAATTGTTTACCGATCCATTCCCGTGACAACTTTCACAAACAACGTCCAACTTTTATATAAACCCGAATATATAATGGTTTAACATTGATTTTAATGAAGAAATCCTCATTCGATGCCTGAACGTTGCTTTGTCTCTCTGGTCATGTGAAATTATTAAATTTAGGTCAAAATTGATGGGAAAAAATGATTGCTTACCAATTGACATTTAAACAAACAAAAACAAAAAAAAAAACATGCAATATTGATTAATTCGGACTAATTTCCTTGTTTTCGTTGGTCTTATCACAATGCTTTGGCCGCTGTATTCTCTTTTCTTCGAGTGTTTGTTTTATTTTTAACTTCTGAACTGGCTGGTTTAATTAAGTAGACGGAAGATAAGTAAATATATGCCGTTTCTTTTAACATGATCACGACCCAGCGATTCTTCCCGCCAAGCTGTGAAGAAGCAGCATATAATGGTTTACGTGGTTAAGACAGCCATCTAAAGAGCCCGGTTCCATGAATTTCTCTTTGCTTAAATCATGTAGTAAAAGATCGAAATATGAAAGATGGTGGCAGGCTACACGCGTTGATGAAGAAACGGAATATTTGAAATTATAACTGATTCTTCACGGAGATAGATAGATAGATAGATAGATAGATAGATAGATAGATAGATAGATATGAAGAGACTGGGATAGATAGATAGATAGATAGATAGATAGATAGATAGATAGATGAACAGAATGGGATAGATAGATGATAGACAGACTGGGATAGATAGATAGATAGATAGATAGATAGATAGATAGAATGAATGAAAAAAAGAAATAAAGAAAGATCTGAACAGACTGAGATAGAAAGAAAGAAAGATAGATATGAACAGATTGAGATAGATAGATAGATAGATAGATAGATAGATAGATAGATAGATAGATGTACAGATGTTTCATTGAATACAACGGACGATAATAAAGTTTTATTCAGTTTTTTCCGATGTTCTTACCGTTTACTTTTATGGAGACTAAGAGAGTGTAGAAACAGTCCGTGGTGATAATTGTCTCAATCGCTTTCGGCTAATTCATTAGCCATTTGCAACAGACATGTTCTGATCAGTATTATGCCGCATGGCAATAATTCAAAGCGTTACAGCACAGAAAAAGACGCGAGCAACAAACTTTCTTGAAAATGGCTAAGGAATTGGACGAATTCGCTTAAGACAATTATCACGATGGACAGTTTCTACATTCTCTTAGCCCTCATAAAAGTAAAACTGTAAGGACACTCCAAAAATAAAAGAATAAACATATAAATTTTCCTTGGCCATCACATGTATAAAGGATATATATATATATATATATATATATATATATATATATATATATATATATATATATATATATATATATATATATATATATATATATATATATATATATATATATATATATATATATATATATATATATATATATATAAATATAATTGGTTGTGAGGATGTATTGCTGGTTATATATATATATATAATTGTTTGTGAGGCGTTTCGTCCTTTAGGACTTCATCAGACTAAATTTGTTATGTTGGTTCAACTACACACGCGTACGAACACAGTGTGAGATATCTACTAACAAAAATGACGGAAAGAAAAAGAAAAAAAGAATATAAATGAAATTGGCTAGATAAAAAAAAATAAATCAAAATTAAAAATACCCAGCCTCCCTCGTTCGCGCGCATGTGTAGTCGGCACCAACAAAACAAATTTAATCCGATGAAGTTCCAAAGGCCATCATAAGAAAACTTTTTCGACTTTGTCATTCATTCATACATACATAAATAAACGTTAAAATTTCCCTGCCGTGTGACGATAGCTTGTGGGTAGAATTTCTGACTGATGTCAAATCGGTAGGGTTTCCATTTCGGGTTGAAGCAATCGGATGTTTAGCCACCCTGACCTGATGAGCTGTGATAGAGTGAAACAATCTGTCTGTGAATGAGTATATATATATATATATAATTATTTATTTAAAAATATGATTCCGACACGCTACATAAGAGTTTCAAAACAAGAGCCGAAAACTTCAATATAATTAATTGAATTAAAGTAAGCTCTGTTCCATCTTCAAGCGAAATTTTTTGGGGAATTTTTTTTTCGCAAATGCCATTTTCATGGACATATAATTCAAATTTAACCTTTAAAAAATTCTCCTGATTTTGGGAATAAGGAATAGCCACGTGTATTTTGGCCAAAATCTTTTTAAAATTGGCATTTAATTCCTTAGATTCCTAATCTATCTGGTAAAAATGAATATTACGAATGGTCAAATATCATTTTTCTAGGATCGTTATTATATAATCATATGGCCCAAATATGGTACTGGTCTCTGACACGCTAGGAAGACTTGTTACGTTAATGATAGCTAGCGTTAAAATGAATAAGACATCATATCTTCGTGTGTAGTACAGTTAGTCTCAAAATGACACTGAAATAGGACATATAAAAAACAAAAAATTGTGGATAGTGGCACAGTACTTTCCGTACCTCCATCCTCCCCAACAGTGGAATACAACAGTCACGCACAACGATTTTGACATGACTCACCAAATCTAACACTATTGGCATCGTTCAATTGGAAAAGCGACAACACACTCGAAGAGATAGTAGTCACCATTCAACTATCAACAGTTTATAGTTCTAACTGCTAAACCACAGAACGTTTTCACGACGTCGCTGATATATATTTTTTATAATTTCTTTTCCAATTTTCATAAAAAAAAAACGTCTTTAAAAACGACAAAATAATTGCCGTCATAGTATAACAAAGTATCCGTCTTAATAAAGCGGTTTTGTTTATTATTTCGGCATTGCTTAACTTGCCTTAAAGGACGTATATATAACAAGACTCTCTGTTCTGAAGACGACTTTCGAAATCTTTTTCCGATGTTGAATCAATACAGTAAGAGACTCAACAAAGAACGAAATTTCTTTGTTTCAAATCGTCTGACCCCTACCAACGTGAGGGTGTAGAGTGTCTTGCCCTTATTTTCGATTCAGCTGCTTACTACGAGGGTAGGGTGAAAATTCATAGACTGACTATGAAGGAATGTTGCCTGCAATTATTTCCAACTTTTCTTAATAACTGCATTGTTTCTTTCCCGGTAAAGTGACATTTGATTGTTCAAAGCAAACTTCAAAAGTAACTGGTGGCGACTTTTCTTGAAAATGGACAAAATTTGTATCGTGGTGTTAACAAGTATCTACAGAAAAAAGAGTTTGGCCTCCAAAGATATTTATACTGATATGATTGCTACATGAGGGTGGGGGTGACGCTTTAGCTTTAACAATTGTACAAAATGGGGCAGCTGAATTTACGAGGGGAAGAGAAAGAACTGAAGATGACCCAAGGTCTAGACATTCTGCAACTGCCACTACCGAGGAAAATATTGATAGTGTTCACCACATGATGTTTGATGACAAGCGATTGACTATAAATCAAACAGCCAATGCTAACAGCATATCCCGTAAAAGAGTTGAGAATATTTTGCACAATGGACTTGGCATGACTAAGGCTTTTGTACGATGGGTGCCACGTCTTCTGACACCTGATCAAACGCGCACCAGGCTGATCACGTCACGGGAAATCTGACATTGTCTGAAGCAGATCCAGCTTGTTTCCTTGAACGTTTCCTAACTCAGGAGGAGTATTGGATTCATCACCTTCGGCCATTGTCAGATAAAATACACGCCACCTCACCTGTTCCAAAAAAAAGGGTCACGGTCGTTTCATCTGCAGTGAAGGTGATATCTTCAGTTTTTGTGGATGCAAAAGAGCCACATCATCAATGGAGAGTACTATGCCAAATTGCTGAGTCAGTTAGGAAAGTCTATAAAAACCAAACGCGCAAGAAAACTAACGAAAGGGGTCTTGTTTCATCAGGACACTGCTCCAGCAAACAAGTTCTTGGTTTCAATGGCTAATGTCCATGTCTGTGGCTTTGAACTGGTTGGTCACCTATCCCTCTTCTCATGATTTGCTCCGGTCGGATGTTCACTGGATCACATTTTCTGAGATAAATGCGTTGTTTGCGTCAACAATCTCATAGAGTAACTTCTCGAGGCATCACCATCACCATCCTCATCCCCTTGACTGCTTCAATCGTCGGGAAGACCTAAAAAGATGATTTGTTAGAGGTGGCTCTCACGAGTCCCGGCATTGTCAGGTCCGTCCACTCTTTGATGTCTGACCAGCTTTTTGCGTTGTCGTCCTCGCTTGCGTCCGCCTTCAACGATGCGTTTCATGATAGTCTTGCAGAGGCTGTTATATCGTATAATGTTCGTAGAATATAACAATCTAGAAGACTACGATAAAAGGCAACAATAAAGTGAAATTAAATCTAGTCAAAGATCAATGAACATTCCTCATTTCGAATCTGTAATAAAAAAAGGTTGGTAAATTAGCATTATTTTTGAAGGCGATGTCTTTATTTCCAGCAACTGTTAATAGTTATTTTCATATAATGCAGAAAAGGAAAAACAATATGAGTAGGTAGATTATTTACATTATTCGGACTATTGTCCTCATCTTTGTCGCCATATTTATCACAACGTTTCGAATCTAACCAACGCCTTTATCCACTGTGCCATGTGACCTTGAGCGTACAGCGGCCGAAACGTTGTGATAAATATGGCGACAAAGATGAGGACAATAGTCCGAATAATGTAAATAATGTACATAATACCTCATCTCAGAAATATAGACAGACTATGAGTAGGTAGGTTTGCCTATCGACCGGTTCACACTTCTTTCCCGTCTTTTGAACAGGAGCAGAAGATTATCCTTTGTTTGCTGTTTAGGACTGGATTTCCGGTTCCTTCTAAAGTTTTCTCAGTTGTTTTCACTCCCAGTAATCCTTGCGTCTTAGTGACATTATCGCCTTGTTTGGGGTGAAATGATGAAAAACACTCGTTGAAAAAAGCGGTTTAGTTTGGTTTAGTTTGTTTCACGGCATATCAACCTCAATGGGTTTTTTAATGCCGGCAAGATTTTTATTGCTGGTAATATTTTTTCAGGTATCTATTGCTGGTAATAATTTTTTACAAAACATCTCTGGTATTAAAAACTATTTTTACACTTTCATAGTGTTTTGACCTTAGTTTGGGGGTTAACTATTTACCCATAGCTGGAACCCTAACAAGTGCTACCACGCGGGTCAGGGTGGACCTGAGAACACCAGCAGTTAAGAGGTGGTTCCACACTCCTCAAAACCTCTTGATCAGAGGCCTTGCTAGTGGATAGTTTATCGTCTTACCCAGGACGCGGATGTAGTTTATCGTCATACCCAGGATGTTGAAAAAGTGGGAAAATTTTTAAATGAAGAATAACTTGAGAAAATAAGTTTTTACAAAGTCATAATTAAAATCAGGTAACTGCTTGTTTTATGTTTCAAGTCCTTTCAAGCCTTAGTTGTTCATGGCTCTCCACACCTTTCTGTCGCTTGTTGCTCTAGGTAACTCTCTGTCCCTATTCTGCTACTAATTCACACATAGTTAAGGAGGTTAACAGACGTTTAAGCTTACTTATTTTTCTTTCAATATGTTCTATATTAAATTCACCAGGACTTCTTTCCACATGAATGTTGTCCACAATGTCTTTTGTAGCCCTTAGCAATGTCTTTTTCTTTTTACTATACCTCCAACTCCCTTTTTTCATCCATTTACACAAGCTTATCAGATAGGTTTCTTGCTGTGTGTCTCTGTACCTCAGTATGTTTTGTGAGTGTCAAATTCTCCAAGCCTTCTTTCCTCATTATGTATCTTAGAAATCTCAGAATTGTAGAATTCACTTGACTCACTTCTACCAGTTGAATAGTTCTACGTGCCGCTGATGAATCTTATATGTGTTGTTCATGTACTAAGTATTATCATTCATTACCAACCTTCATTTGATTATTCTAC